TATATGAAAGTAGAAATGGAATATTATTGATGATAACATGCATGATTAAGCCACTATGCAGTTTATTCTAGATAAGAAACCACATTTAGTATGTTGTGATGATGCTCAGGGAATGAATGTAAATTAATTTTTAAAAAAGTTTCAGGAGAAAAAAAAACTAAAACTGTTCTTATCGAAATTTTTTTAAAAAATGCGTATTTGATGACTGCAGTAAGCTATATAGTCCCATCTAGGCACTACATTATAGTATGTTCATTCTACTCACTGAGGTTTATGCCTAAAGTCAGACTTGGGTTCACGTATATGTATATATCAGCTGCGTTTGCTATTAGAAATATTTAGACTAATTAAGTTAATTAGCAAATCAATTAAATGGGGGGAAAGGAATAGAAAGCAACCATGGATACCAGAAACAATGTGGGAGGAGGGTGGGATAGGGCAGAGGGTGAGGGATAGGGAATCAAGGGTGGCCAAAAAAATAAATAAATAAATAAAGCAAAATATACAGGACATAAGAAATGGAAAATTATTTGTTGATAACACGTATGTTGATGTGCTTGATTGAGCCAATATACAGTGTGCTGTAATGATGTACAGTGAATTAATGTAAAAAAAAATAAATTTAAAGAAAAGGAAAAAAAAAGATTATACACCATGACCAGGTAGGCTTTATTACAGAGATGCAAGGGTGATTCAACATAACCAAAACTATAAATATAATACACAATATTAACAGAAAGAAAGATAAAAATCACATGATATCAATTGAAGCAGAAAAGGCATTTGATAAAAAAAAAACAAAATCATTTCATGATTAAGACTCTCTGCATAATCAGCATAGAAGAGACATTTCTCAACCTGGTAAAAGCCATATATGAAAAACACATAGCTAACACCATACTGAATGGAGAAAAGCTGAGAACTTTTCCACTACAAACTGGAACAAGAGGAGAGCTCACTTTTTCCAGTCCTTTTCAATATAGTACTGGAAGTCCTAGCCAATGCAATGAAAAAAGAGACGAGGTGAAGAAGTGAAATTATCTCTATTTACAGATGGCATGATTATATACATAGAAAACCCAAAGCAATAAAAAGAAATGCTGGAAGTGATAAATGAATATAGTAATGTGACAGGATACAAATTAGTATACAAAATCTATAGCTTTTGTCTACACCAATGATGATCAGACTCAGGCAGATTGAAGAATGCAATCCCACTTACAATAGCCACAAAAAGTATACAATGCCTAGCAATAAACCTAACCAAAGAAGTCAAAGACCTCTAAAAGGAAAACTATGAAAAACTTTTTTAAAAATATTGAAAATGACACAAAAAGAGGAAATTCATCATATGTTCCTGGTTAGGAAGAATTAATGTAATTAAAATGCCAATTCTACCCAAATTAATCTACAAATTTTAATCAATCACAATCAAATTACCAGAGATATTCCTTACAGATTTATAAAAAAAAATCATAGAATTTGTCTGGAATCATAAAATATCCCATATTGCCAAAACAATACTTCCTAAGAGTGGAGTAGGAAGCATCTCATTTCCTGACCTCAAAATATATTACAAAGCTGTGATAATCAAAACCATATGGTATTATGAGGCAGGAGAAGAGAAGAGTATAGAGAAAGTTAGCAAAAGAACAAATAGCGAGGCATGACATTAGTGGGACAGAGATATGATTTATTACCTGTTGATGATGATAAGTATAGTATTCTCGACTGGATTGGTCTGAGAAGTATTTCATGTTGGGTAAAGTCTTTTTACAAGCAAAATGATAAATAGTGGTTGACTATTTTAAAAATAATTGGAATAATAATAATAATCAGGGGAAAGAATGAAAAGCTACTGGATGATGAAATGGGGGTTTTAATGTCTCTGTATTGACTGATATGCATGGTATTCCTTCTGGAAAAAGAAATGTAATACACTGTAAAGTTATATGTGATTCAATGTAATATAAACAAGATTGTGATGATAATAAATAAATAAATTTTTTAAAAGAAAAAAAAACACATGGTATTGGCACAAAAACAGGCATGTAGACCAATGGGTCAGAATAGAGACCCCAGAAATAAACCCCAAAACACAGCCAACTTATTTTTGACAAACGGCACCAGACAATTCACTGGGGAAAAGAAAATCATTTTAGCAAATGGTACTGGGAAAAGTGGGTATCTTCCTGCAGAAAGATGAAACTGGACCTCTATGTCACACCATTAACAAAAATCAACTTAAAATGGGCCAAAGATCTACACCTAAGACCTCAAACTATAAAACTACTGGTGGATAACACAGGAGAAACTCTTGGAGACATCAGAGTAGGCAAAGACTCATCTTAAATAATATCCCCAAAACACTAGCAATAATCCCAAAAATAGACAAGTGTAATTACATTAGGTTAAAAAGCTTCTTCACAGCAAAGGAAATGGTAGAGTGAAGAGACAACCCTTGGAATGAGAGAATATATTAGCAAACTATGCCTCAGATAAGAGATTGATCATCAGAATTACAGGAAACTCAAGCAACTTGCTCAAAATAATAATAGTAATAATCAACCCAATTAAAAGATAGGCAAATGAACTGAAGAAACAACTCTCTAAGGAAGACATATGATCCTCCAAAAAGCATATGAAAAAATGCTCAACATCTCTTATCATAAGGGAGATGCAAATCAAAACCGTAATAAGTGGGACCAGCAGATAACATAATGGTAATGTCTCTGGACTCCCATGTAGTCAACCATGGTTCAAGTCCTGGACCCGGTGGCTTAAACTCATGCCGGACACATGTGCAAACATGTTGAAGATCCCAAGAGGAGAATGGAGAAGAGATTGCAGAGTGGCCATCCCCCCAGGGGGTGATTTCTCACTTCCTGTCTCTCTGTCTCTGTCTGTCTTTCTGGTGAGCGCACACACCCAATAGCAAAAACCTTCAAAAAAAAAAAACATAATAAGGTACCACTTAACCCCAGTCAGAATGGCTAAGATTAAAAAAAATAATAATAAAGAATGATAAGTGCTGGTGAGGCTGCAGTGAAAAGGGAACTCTCCTACACTGTTGGTGAAAATGCAAATTAGTACAGCCACTGTGGAAAGCAATATGGAGTTTCCCCAAAGATCTACTAATAGAACTACAATATGATCCAGCAGTTCTACTCCTAGGTATTTACCCAAACAATAGGAATACACTCTGTAAGAAACAAAACTTGTGCTTCCATGTTTATTGCATTATTCACAATTATTAAAACATGGAACCAACCCAAATGCCACAAACAGATGAATGGATTGAAAAATTGTAACATATATACACTATGGAATACTACTCAACCATTAAAAACAATGAGACCTTGGCATTTGATAGAAAATGGATGAATATGGAAGATTTACTAATAAGTGAAACAAGCCAGACTATGAAATAGAGGCATTGTAAGGCCCCACTCAATATATACCAAATGTCTGCACTCTATGGCAGAAACTGAAAGATTGGGAGGTATAAAAGCCTGGAGAGGAACTGTGGATACTAGAGACCATGTGGGAAGAGGGTAGAAAAAGGGAGAGGATGAAGTGGAGAGAATCAAGGAGAAAAAGAAAGAGGCAAAACATTTAAGGTACACAAAAGTAGAAATTATCTGATGATAATGTATATGGTCATATCTTTGGCTAGACTAATTTACAGTGTATTGATGCTGGGGAAAATTATTTTGTGTGCTATAATGATGCACAGTGATTGAATGTAGCAAAATAATAAAGAAAAAATATGTAACAAAAATAAGAACTACAATGATCCAGCAAGTTCACTACAAAGAGATCAATCTTAACGTCCACTAACAAATGGATGAATAAGGAAAATGTGATACACACACACACGTATACACACAGATATACTAGAATACTATTCAACTGTTAAAAAGAGTAAAATCCTGTAATTTCTGATAAAATGTCTGGAGGACATTATGTTATGTAAAATAAATAAGCCAGGCACAGAAAAAGAAATGCAACATGTTCTCACTTCTACATAGAAATGGAAAAGAATGACCTCATCTAAGAGTTGAAGAATTCTTAGCATAGGCTGGGGGAATGGGAGGAGGAGAGGTAGAGGGGTGATGAGTAATGGAAACAAAATGACAGATAGATAAGAGGAACAATTTCTATTGTAATAAAATACAGTAGGGTGAACCTAGATAACAACAATATACTGTATATCTCAGAACAACTAAAAAAGAGAGTTTTGATTATTCCCAAAGGAAAGAAGGACAAGTAACTGAGGTGGTGAATATACCATTTACTCTAATTTAGTAAATGCATATCATAAGTTTGTATTGAAAGATCATGTTGGACCCATGAAATATAAACAAATATTATATATTGATCAAAATGTATTATATTCAGGCAGCCCATGGTAGCAGCCCCATACGCTTTTCACATCAGTGTTAAATGTCCCACTTAATGACCAGCAAATTAGACTCTAGCTATTTCAAAGTCAAATATGGTTTTACAAAAATGAGGGCGGTATGGTCTATTAAAGAGCAGGACAAATTATCCAACACAGAGGGTGGAAAAGTTGGTGTGTGCGTGTGTGCATGTGTGTGTGTGTGTGTGTGATCCATAGGGACAAATATACCCAGAATTTAAAACAGTGGAGGGCGTAGGCCTTCAGGATCTTTTGAAACTCCCAGGTGGAGCCCAGGTTGGACACACATCCTGTGTGGACCTTTCCTGCCCAGCCGGGATATCCTGTGTTTGTCAAAGGACCACACAGGGAAGCCCTGACTATTGTTCTTCCCGAAATCTGCTGCCAGCGAACCCCTCCCCAGTCTGAGGCAGCCGCCCCAGGCAGAGGAAGAGGAACACTGGAACTGTTGTTATCAGCATCCTCCATGGACTTCCTTACCTTCTCCCCAGCCTCATTAGCCCCAAGCTCCTCAGTATTCTCCAACAGAAACCTAGGAAGCTGGGATGGGGTCAGCGCTCTGAAGCCAGCCCCCTCTGACAGTTTCCTCTTTGGCCAAGCTCTGCCTTTGTGCAACCCTGAGTGGGTCACTGAAAGCTGCAGCTGCAGCCCAGAACCTGAGATGGAGTCCCTGCTCTGGCCCAAGGCTGCCATGCCCCACCTGGGCTGGCTGGCTCTGCTGCTATGGGTCTCAGCCCTGAGCTGTTCTTTCTCTTCGCCAGCTTCTCCCCCTCCTTCTCTGGTGCCCCAAGTCAGAACCAGCTACAATTTTGGAAGAGCTTTCCTCGGTCTTGATAAATGCAATGCCTGCATCGGGACATCTATTTGCAAGAAGTTCTTTAAAGAAGAAATAAGGTCAGAATCTCAATCAAATAACTGTGAGGGGCACAATTCTGTTTTCTTCATGTGAAGATGCCCAGGAGTTGGTTGAAAATAAATCAGGGCATAATTTATGGGTGGGAGTTGTAACAAAGTCATTTAATAATAGTAGTAGTGTTTTGAAGTTGGGGTGGGTAGGAGGGCAAAGTGTGAAGTCAAATTCCAGTCCTAAATGCTAAGTACTAAAATAAGTTTCCTTTAGAAGTGAAAACTTGAAGTTTTCTTTTCTATGAATGATGTAGCATGAGGCTATTAAGTTTTCCAAGTTCACTTTTTCATAAGGGGAAGGAAATAAAATTTATAGAAAGCCCACTATGTTGACAGGCATTTTAAACCATCCTGAGTGTTAGTGGCTTGTACCCATTTATTTTAAATTAAGTATATTTTATTTATTTCTTCCATGGGCAAAAGAGATGGAGATAAAGGGACAGAGAGATGACATCTTCAACGTGGTCTTGATGCCACAATCCACCCCCTGGCTTCAGCCAACTCTGAATCACGGGCACATGTGTGCCAGAGTAATCAAGGTCTCTGGACATAAATCTAGAGCCTTCCCAATGTGGGTCAACCTCACAGAGCATCACATTTTACCGCCATACCACTGACCAGCCCCTGCACCTATTATTTAGACAGTGAACTGAGATATTGCAAATTTAAGTGATTTGCCCAAGGATACCTACCACCTACTAAGTGGCTAGGACAGTTTGCTCCAAAGTTTCTGAGCCATTTTTCTGTTGTGAGGTGTTTGCTTAATCAGAGGAAAATTAGAGTTTAACACATTGCAATGCACATGGCTTTCATCAAAAAATGCTACCACACTCTGGAATTTAAGCCTATTAACACAGAGTCAGTGAGTTTTTACTATAGCTAAGACCAGCAGTGCTGTAGTGACAGCCACTGTAACACTGGCCATTGCCCTCCAGGGATTAGGAGAAAGGAGAGTGTACAAATAAAAATAATCAGATGTGGTCTGATACAGGCCAGTATAAAGGACCTTCAGGAGTGAACATTAATTCCGAATGGAGCCAGTGAAGTGTTCCTCTAAAGGAAGGTATTCTGAGCGAGGCCTTAGAGGATGAACTGAAATTTAGTGAGAGGTAAATGGCTTAACACAGAAAAAAATAGCTTACATAAAGACCCAGAGAAAGTGCAGAGAAGGATGAGAAGTTCCCAGAAACTAGAGTATGGGGTGTTTATGGAGGCATGTCAGGAAGGAAGTTGGGAGGATATACACAGTGGGAAGCCTTGAATGATGGACTAAGGAACTGGCACCTTAATATGTGGGCTAGTGGTTCTCAGCCTTTCCCATTCCAAAGACCTTGTCATACACCTCTTCTCTTCTGTCCTCTTCCAAGGACCTACCACTGCTTATAAGATTAAGCAAACAAACAAAGGCACTAATTAACAATGATTTTTAGTTCCAGTCTGTATTAACCAAAGACATATTTGACTAATATAATGACTAACTTACTAAACAGAAATAATAAGTAAAAAATACCAATTGAAAGTGTTAAACTTGAGACCAGCAGTTGGCATAATGGCTATGTCGCTGGATTCCCACATGGTCGACTACGGTTCGAGTCCCAGGCCCGGTGGCTTAAACTCACGCCAAGCACATGTGTGTGTGTGCCCAAGATCCCAAGAGGAGAATGAAGGAGAAGCGATTGCAGCATGGCCATCTGCCCCTGGGGAGTGATTTCTCGCTTTCTGTCTGTCTGTCTTCATCTTTCTGGTGAGTGAATGTACCCTATAGCAAAAAACCTCCAAAAAGAGAAAGAAAAGAAAAAAAAGTGTTAAACTTGGTCTAGCCTAGTTGGCACAGTCTGCAGTGCTGGAAGCCACATGGCTGATCATGGATTTGGATCTCCCAGATAGGCTTGAGAACATATTAGGTGTGCATGTAGGTGCTTAAGATCCTGAAGAACAGAAGAGCTAGATAAGGGGATCACCGTGTGACTAGACCCTGTCAAGGGTGCTTTCTTTTTCTTTCTCTCTTTCTCATGTGCACACCCACACTCTCTATCATCTAAAAAAAAATGAAATTTCTTTTATGAGATCATAGATACATTATGCAGTTGATGTGGACTTTTCCTATTAAGACTTTAGAGCATTCCTGAATGTTGAAAAGTTTAAAGACCCCCCAACTGAGGAAGCTGTGTTGTAGGCCATGGTGAGGGTATTAAGCTAGGGAAAAGTGAGATGTCTAGGATGGACTGGTGTTGCTAGCAGGGACTGTGAAACCAGTTCTCATAATCTATGAGAGAGATCACTGGGAACAAAGTAGGGCAGAGAGGATACCAGTAGGTTCAGCTATAGTCATTTTGTTGACCGACTTGATGTGAGAGGAATTAAAGATGGAAATGTTGAATGCAAACACAAGGTTTCCCACCTAGGAAATGGGATGAAAACAAAGAACACAAGTGAAGTGCTCCTGATTTCTCGGAGAAAGGAGGCAACAAGAATATGGACATATTTTAAGGTAGTTTAGAATAGGAGGAAGAAAAATGAAGGGATTCAACTGAGGAAGAGCTCTAAGTTTATGTCTTCCTATTTACCAAGTGCCAATAAATGAACTGTTTCTCACCAGTCAGGTTCTAGCCAAAATTCAGAAGGCATTTCCCTAAATAGGTTTATGCTCTATTAGAGGTCAGGATATTACTTCATCTCCCTTAGAATTCATTTGAAATTGATGTGTGACTGAAAGGGAAGGCACAGATACAAGCAGGAAAGCAGCAGGCAGCACAAGTTTGGACTCACAGTTCTCTACACTGAACATGTTCATCCTTAGCATGAAGAGGCAGAGAGAGGCAGGAAATGAGTCTGGGGACTTGGCCTTGTTTATAGTTCTTTTGCCTACAATACAAATAATTTTATTTTAAAACTAGTACCTGTGTGTTTTAGAATATTCAGGAAATATTGATTACTGAAAGTATGAAATAAAAATCACCTATAAGGGAACACCAGCTGGCATGGTGTTTAAGGTGCTGGACTACCACATGACCAACCACGGTCCAAGTCCCAGACCTGGCTGCTTGCTTTCTCACTCTCTTTCTCTCTCTCTCTCTCTCTCTC